GGGTGTAGAGAGGGGTGTGTGGGGTGCCCTGGGGCTCAGGGTCTGCGAGGGAAGCGTGTTTTATGTGATGCCTTCTGCAGGGGTGTAGGGCGGGCGTGCTGGGGCTGTCCCCAGCCGTCCGGGGGGTGGGGGGTGGTAGGGGAGATGCGGAGCTGTAGCTCGGTGGGGCACCCTGCATAGGGATATGCAGGTACAGAGGGGTGCCTGGGGAAAGTGGGGTGCCCTGGGAATATGCTGGGGTGAAGGTATTTTTTGTTTTGATTTTTTTTTTTTTTTCCTCTAAACATCCTGCACAGGAGTGTGGGGGCTACCTGGGGGTTCTGGGGGATGGGGGCACGCAGGACGTGTTCATACGGAGCACCCTGTGCAGGGATACGGGGGGGCTGTAGGAGGGCGGCCTGGGGCAGATGTGCTGCTGGGAAGCACCTCTGTACGGGGCAGTGTATAGGGGTGCCAGGGAGGGGAGCGTATATGGGGGCGGAGGTGTGTACGGGGGTGTCCCTGCAAGGGCTGCCCCGTAGAGGGTTGTGGGTGTCTGCAGGGATCCCCTGAGGGGGGAAGAGGCCTGGATGAGGTGCTTGGGAGAGGCACAGGGTAAATCGGGGTGCAGTGTCCGGATGGTGGGAGGGGTGCGAGGTGCATGTTCTGGGGCACACGCTTAGGGAGCAAGGTGCCTTGGTGGGACTGCATGTAGGATCCGCAGGGCTGCAGGTTCCTGGGTGGGGACGGGGGCTGTGCTGGCGTGGCAGGACTATGTCCCCATGGCTCCCCGCGACCCAGTCCCGAAGCTCGCCTGGTGTTACTGAGGCCTTGCTGGTGACCCCCGAGCTGGCGTCAGGGTATACGGGGGGCTGGGAGGGTTCCTGTCCTTCACCTCCGTGCCTCTGCTCCCAGTCGCCATGTCGGTGCCAAAGAAGAAGCGAAGGATGAAGGAGCTGAACAAGAAGGAGGCAGTAGGCGATTTGCTGGATGCCTTTAAAGAGGTGAGTGTCCCGGGGACGTCCGCGGGTCACCCTGGGCCCTGTCTCCTCCTGGGATGAACTCTGCTTTGTGCCATCGTGTCTGGGCCACTGATGTTCCCTGATGGCAATGAGGATCTGAGGGGAGGCGGACGCCTGGGTGCTGGGTGAGGAGGCAGGACCAGGCCCGCAGGGTGACTGCTGTCCCCGTCCCTCCTGTGCAGTCTCAGATCAGCGACAGTGCCTCGGAGACGGAGAACAAGCCCCCCACGTCCGCCTCTGCCCGTGAAGCAGAGGATGCAGTCCCTGCTCGTCCGCAGGAAGAGTCGGAGGAGACGTGGGAGGAGAAGGAGGACAAGCTGGCCCCGGAGAAGGGCAAGGCTGCCGACCAGAAGTACCGCTACAAGGAAGGTGAGCCGTGTGTTGGCCCAGGCCTCTGCTTGGAGCCACCACCTGTGGACCCAGTGGTGGGGAGGGTGGAGGTGGCATGGTCCAGCTGTCCTAAACCTCACGCTCTCCTCCCATCTTGTCCCTAAGCCTGGCATGGGGATGGGGACAGAGACCCCACTGCAAGGGTCCTGGCAGGAGGCAGGGAGCCGGTGGCATCAGGCTTTCTGTCTGAGCAAGCAGTGTCGTGCTCATGGCGTACCAGCCTGAGGCAGCTCTGGTTGTCTACATCCCACCTCACTGGTCCCTGGGTGGGCCTGGACCTGCCACAGCTCGGGATGGAGGATACAGGACAGGCCACATCAGGGACTCCCTCTTGCCCCACACTGCAGAGCAATGGAAGCCACTCAACCCTGAGGAGAAGAAGCGATATGACCGGGAGTTCCTGCTGGGCTTCCAGTTCATCTTCGCCAGCATGCAGAAGCCCGAGGGGCTACCCCAGATCACGGACGTGGTGCTGGACAAGGTCGGCGCGGCCCTGGAAATTGGGGGAGCGTGGGTGGTGCCCAGGTGGGGGTCTGGCTCCTCTTTGTGCCTTGTCGAGGCAGGGCAGGGACTTAACTGCTGTGCTCGGGGTCCTGTTGCAGCATTCGCAACGAGCCTTGAGCCTGGGGTTGGTGCGGGGGGGGCACTTCTGGGGCCTTCTTTCCAGTTCCTTGTCCCGGCGCTGAGGCTGGGGGATGGATCCATCCCGCTCCTCTGCCCCCCGGGCATCCTCAGCCGTGTGTACCTTCGCAGGCCAACAAGACCCCACTGCGGGCGCTCGACCCCATCCGCCTCAGTGGCATGAACTGCAGCCCTGACTTTACCCCCTCCTTTGCCAACCTCGGCCGGCCCGTCATGGGCAACCGGGGCCTGGTGAGTATCTCCTCGCTTCACCCGCGCTGTCCCCCTCTGCCTCTCCGTGATGATCAAGCTTTCGAGCCGCTGTGTCTGGGCCACTGATGTCTGTGATGGAGCTGAGGATCTGAGCAGGCGGAGGGGGGCAGCCCAGGAGCTGGCCCGGCTGGTCCCGGAGCAGAGAGCTGAGTTTCTTCTCCCTGTGTCAGCCCTCAGGGTTGGGTCCCCGCCGCTCCCAGCAGAGCCAGAGAAAGGAGCCCCGCAAAATCATTGCCACTGTGTCCCTCAATGAGGATGTCAAGCTGAACAAGGCTGAGAAGGCCTGGAAACCCACCAGCAAGCGTGCCTCCGAGGAGGAGGATCCCGAGAACATCAAGACGCAGGTGGGAGCTGGGACAGGCGGGCAGTGGGAGGGCGAGGGGGACGTGCCTGGTGCTTGCTGACCCTGCTCTCCTTGCAGGAACTGCTCCGCCGCGTCCGCAGCATCCTCAACAAGCTGACACCCCAGATGTTCCAGCAGCTGATGAAGCAGGTGATGGAGTTGTCCATCGACACGGAGGAGCGGCTCAAGGGTGTCATCGACCTCGTCTTCGAGAAGGCTATCTCGGAGCCAAACTTCTCTGTTGCCTATGCTAACATGTGCCGTTGCCTTATGGGGGTGAGCAGGAGCTGGGGGGGTGTCTTCCACCAAGCTGGCAGGGGTTTGTTTGGGGGGCCTCAGCTGAGCTTGGCACAGTGCAGGTCCTTCTGTGTGGGGTGGGGACACTGGGGCATGTGGGGGGACGACCAAGTCCAGCGTCTCAGCAGGGCATCATGAGGGTGTAGGGTGGCTTTTTCTCGGTTTGAGCAGTGCTTGGGCCTTAGCTGACCAGCTTTTGGGGGAGACACAACTCATGCTTCTTGCCTGGGTTGTACCTCTCCCTGCAGCTCAAAGTGCCCACAACAGACAAGCCCACGGTGACTGTGAACTTCCGCAAGCTGCTGCTCAACCGCTGCCAGAAGGAGTTTGAGAAGGACAAGGACGACGATGAGATCTTTGAGAAGCGGCAGAAGGAGATGGACGATGCCAGTGCTGTGAGTTGGGGTGGGAGGCTGCGGCCGAGGGCTGGTGTGGGTGTCCTCGGGGTGGGCCTGGCCTCTGAGCTGCCCTGCTCTCCTGCAGCCCGAGGAGAAGGCGCGCATGAAGGACGAGCTGGAGGAGGCACGGGACAAGGCCCGCCGGCGATCCCTGGGCAACATCAAGTTTATTGGAGAGCTCTTCAAACTAAAGATGTTGACAGAGGCCATCATGCACGACTGCGTGGTGAAGCTGCTCAAAAACCACGATGAGGAGTCTCTTGAGTGCCTTTGCCGCCTGCTTACCACCATTGGCAAGGACTTGGACTTTGAGAAGGCCAAGGTACCCCTTGCCCTGCCCTATCCTGCCCTTGCCTTCGGGAGGGATGTGACCATGACTCTGTCCCCCTGTAGCCCAGGATGGACCAGTACTTCAATCAGATGGAGAAGATCATCAAAGAGAAGAAGACATCATCCCGAATCCGTTTCATGCTGCAGGATGTGATTGACCTCAGACAGGTAAGGCTCTTGGCCCGTTGCTGCCTGGGGACTGTCGTCCGTCCCCTGCTTGGTTCCATGGAGCAGCTGGCCTGTGTCGTCTGACAGACAGCACTCCATGTGTCCCCAGGAGGGGAAGCTGTGGCCAGCCCCAGAGACGCCATGCTAGGCCCCAGCCCTTGGTTAGCATGGTCGTGGTAGTGGGCACACAGTAACTGGCAGCTGTTTAATGCAGGGGGGCTCTGGAAATTGAGCCCTTTTGTGCCAAAAGCTGCCACAGCACACGGGGATGGTCGAGGCAGGAGACGGGCCTGAGGCTTTGAGGGTGGAATGGCTGGGAGGGGGGAATGTCTCTGCCTCCGTCCTCCAGCCAGCTCAGTGCCCTCTTCCCTCCTTCCCTGCCCTCTGCAGAATAGCTGGGTGCCGCGGCGAGGAGACCAGGGCCCCAAAACCATTGACCAGATCCACAAGGAAGCGGAGCTGGAGGAGCATCGGGAACACATCAAAGTGCAGCAGCTCATGTCAAAGGACAAGAGGAGAGGACCCCCCGGGCCGTCCTCCAGCAGTGAGTGCCCCGGGCTTGGGGGCACCTGAGGCTGCCAGGGATGGGTTGCTCCTGCTGGGCACTGCTCAAGGCCTTATGTCTGTCCCCCTTGTGCCCAGGTGGGCGCAGCAGCCTGGTCGCAGATGATGGCTGGAACACGGTGCCCATCAGCAAGGGCAACCGGCCCATCGACACCAGCCGGCTAACGAAGATCACCAAGGTGAGGCTGGGGGGGCGGGGTGGGCAGCTGAGCCAGCTGCCTCCCCAGCCGCGATCATGACCCGGGGTGGGGGGGGGGGAGGGGACCCTTCCCCTGGCGGTTCCCGTACCGGGGAGGTGCCGAACTCTGAGGCTCCCCTCTTTTCACGCCCAGCATCTGATTCAGGGCGACCAGCCACGAGCACCTTGAACCGCTTCTCAGCGCTCCAGCAGTCGACGCCTGCCGAGAGCCTGGAGTCCCGTCGCGTGGTGCAGAGGTGAGGGGCCAGCCCTGCCGTGGTGAGTGGGCGCTCCGGTCTGCAGCCCAGGGAGGAAACCCCCAACTTGGGCACTGGTTGGTCAAGATGTAGGCAAACATATGGTGTCTGGGCTGGAATAACCCCCTGGGGCAGAGTGGGGCCTGGGGGGAACTCAGGGTCACAGAATCACAGAATGTCAGGGGTTGAAGGGACCTCTGTGGGTCATCCAGTCCAACCCGCCTGCCGAAGCAGGGTCATCCAGAGCAGGACGCAAAGGAC